TCATCTCGTACAAATATGTGGACGTTTCATTTGAATAAAACGGCGTTTGCCTCTAAGCTGCCCTCTACTGACTAGAACAGCTGTCACGCGGCTGTTATTCGATCGAATAAGGCTGTTAAAAACACATAGTCCGATCTAGTTTGGGTGGCGTGACTAACAGCCCCCCAGCTGTCGAAGCGTAGCGGTTTCCCCATGCGCAGGAATGGAGATACAGGACCGTGGAACACGCTAATTCCTCCATGCTCCGCCTAAAATGCAACTTGCGGCGCAGACTCCCGATCCGTTTATACTAACAGCCGTCCGCGTGCGCGCGCAGCGCTCTTGGCACTTTGCCAAGTCCTGTAATTGCGCTTTGGAATACAATAAAACGCAAACTCCTGATGCGGATAACATTTGAGGTGTTGCTCATGCTGCAAAATCCGAATCGAAGATGATGACGAGGGCCAGAACTCAAGAGCAACTGTGCTGCTTCTGCAAGTCTCCCTCGAAAGGCGCGCATTCCCACAAAACCTGAAAATAAAAACGGCCGAGTCATTAGTTTGAAGTATTTTTATGGGTTTAGAGCCGGAATCGCGCCGAAACGCAAACATTTACACGGGATTTCAATTAATTTACATTTCCTTAAATTTTTATTTTTATTTTATTTACATCTACATTCGTTGTTCTTCATTTCTAGCCTTTGTCATCTTCATCATCTTCGGATTTTGCAGCATGAGCAACACCTCAAATGTTATCCGCATCAGGAGTTGCGTTTTAATTGTATTCCAAAGCGCAATTACACGACTTGGCAAAGTGCCAAGAGCGCTGCGCGACACGCGCAGCGTGGACGGCTGCTAATATAAACAGGATTGGGAGTCTGCGCCGCAAGTTGCATTTTAGGCGGAGCATGGAGCATATCCACGGTCCTGGATCTCCATTCCTGCGCATGTTCGGGCGGGGAAACCGCTACGCTTCAACAGCTGGGGGCTGATAGTCACGCACACCAAACAATGTGTGATCGTACCATGCGTCTTTATGTAACGCATTTGAGTCAAAGGAAGTTTTTAGAGGCTCGCCAAGGAAGAAAGAAGGGCAGTGACCCGTCATCAGCACTAGGGTTCGAGCAAAAACGAAAACTGAAGCGACGCGTGAGTAAAATGAAATCGAAACAAAGAAGATCTCTACAGAAGCAAAGTGAAACCGATGGAATTGCGGATGTGTACGTTTTGAAGATTTGAAGTCATCATAGCTTAGCTCCCACTTTTTCCGAGTTCTCGTACGTTTTCCCTGTTTAGATCACAGCCGACAGTGAAAACGGAGGAAGAAGGCAGCGCTGTCTTGTTCTCTAAATTCGATTTCCTTGTTAAAAATGAAAAGAAGAAAAAGCGGGTGAGTTGATGCTTGCTATAATCTTCATTACTTCGTTTTGTTTCTATATTTTTCCTCAGATGTGTGTTTTTCGCATAACGTTAGTTCCAGTTGACTACCTCGGAGAAGAAGCAGAAGTTCACTGGAAAAGATTACAAATCACTTATTAATAAGGTACGTCAACTGAACTGCACTACTAGGCATTTTCTTTTATTACTACTACTTTTTACTTCGAAACTGCCCTAGAGTTCCATAGATGAATCCGCCATAGTGCATGTGGCGGCCATTACCGAGTGTGAGAACATCGTTGCCTTGGGAAGTGTGGGTTCACCATGCTCCCAGTCAAAACTGCTTGAACATGCGCGGAGATGAGGCTCCAGGGTCGTGGGGTGGGCTAATTCCTCATGAAAGCAAATTAGGCCGCAGGCACGCTGCACGCTGCTGCTATATTCCGCTCGCATCTGCACTCGCCTCCGCACAGCGCTTTTCGCGCGCGGCGCTTCTGGCACTTTGCGGTTTGCAGTGTCTGGTAATTTGCGCTTACGAATGCGATTGAAATGTAAACTTCATGATGCGGATGACAACTGAGGCGTTGCTCTTCAATTATTGCCCTCGCCATCAGATGATTCGGTATCTGCAGCATGTGCAACGCCTCAGCTGTCATACGCATCATGGTGTTTGCGTTTAATCGCATTTGTAAGCGCAAAATACGAGACATTGCAAACTGTAAAGTACCAGAAGCGCCGCGCGCGAAACGCGACGCGGGTCGGAACAGATGCTATGCGAGGGATATGGTAGCGGCCTGCAGCGTGTCTACGGCCTTTTGAGGCGGGGTATGGAATAATTAGCCTATCCTGCGATCCTGGAGCTTCGTCCCCGCGCATATTCGGACGGGGAAAGCACTACACTAAAACAGCTGGGCCTGTAGACCTCGCTTATGTCAAGGATACACTTTGCACGAAGGTTTTCTCTTTTTAATGAGCAAAACAGATTTCTGAAGCTTAATTATATCGGAAAATCGCCCGTCGCGGATTTCCATTTGAAAGTCAGCCTCAGCTGCAGCATGAGGACCCCCCCCCTCCGTCTTAAAGGCCCACATTCCCATCTAGAATGCTCTGTGGCCCTCCATACACCTCCTCCTCATGTCGCGACTAAGGAGCTGCAGCACAGAGGCGCTGATCAATACTTCATGGGTTGTGCCATGTATTAGACTTCCTTTCCGAACGCATTACCTATCCTGCAAGCTACGTCGCTGCTGTGTTCAGTATGTTTATCTGCATATCCCTCTCCAGGGAGCAGAATACTACCACTCTGGCTTGGATTCCGCACCGTAAGCTTGACGCTGCTGCGGACCCACTCAGCTTGAATACGGCAATATACAGTACCAGTCAGTGCTCTCATGAGCTGCGATAGCACCTTTCCAATTCTAAAAGGATAAAGTCTTCGCCGTTGATCAATCCCTTTGTGGGATGCGGCACGCATTCTACTTCCATTCAGAATCGTAGTGGCTTATTGAATGCGATGTGGCCTATACAATGACTTGCGGTGGCCAGCCGATGTACAAGTCAGTGTTTTATCCTCCCAGACGAATCTGGTACCAATTTACCGTCCCCGGAGGGTAGAAGGCTTGGTTGGCCTGGGCGGGAGTCGACCCGGGATTTGAACCCAGGACCGCGCGAGTGGTGAGCGCGCCACGTGTCACTACACCACCTCCTGCGTTTTCCAATTCTTATAAATATAAATTCGTGTTATCTCGTGAAAGAGATGAATCTGTCGATACGTGTCGTTACCAATGACGTTTGGAAATTTAAGTACGAAACTGGATTTGGTTTTAATGAAGCTCATGTTTCTGTGTTCACGTGAACTTTGTATTGCAGGTTGAAAAGAGAGAAGAAAAGTTCGAGAAACTCAAGGAAAAAGAACCCGACAAAGTTGCTGATCTTGAACGTGATGTCAAATGGAAACGCGCTCTGAACAGAGCACAGGGCGTCAAAGTGAAGGTAGTGGGACCATTCCATTCATTCCTGCTATTTTCGTTTCAGGGGCTTATTCGGCACTGACCAGTTGGGAGAGGGGACCACTCGGTCACGTCTCTGTATCCCATCTTCGACGAGGCTTTGCCTTAGAAAGCAAAGTCGTGTAAGAACGACTAGTCGAGAGGTAGTCTCGTAGAGAAGTCATAGCCTCCACTGAGCTTCAGCCTTGATTAGGGAAAGAAATACGGAGGCGCTGGTGAATGGTCTCTTCTCCTCCCTCAACTTCTTTAGCGCCTTTATTTCTTAGAGCCTTTTTTCTGTGCGTGAGGCTTTGTGGCACAACAAAGGCTGTATAAAGACTAGTATAATGGGTTCTGTAAAGGTTGCTAAGAATTCACTGCATTCGTCTATTCGAAAAATTCGTCTACCATGAACTCATAGACTCGTTTGTTTCAAGGATAACATGGAACTACTGCGAAAGGGATTAGTACGAAAGGAGAAAATGAAGGAGAAACGAAAAGAAAATTGGTCGAGTCGGGAGTCAAACGTGGAGAGAGGGAAGGCGGAGGTTTGATTTCAATTCAATCGTTGTTGTATGATTTCTATTCATTACTTATCTAGCCTAGGTTAAAACCGTTGTGTCTAGGCGACTTGAAAAGTCTGAAATAAATAACTAACATGATGGTATCAACTAGTCTCAGTCGTCTTGTTTCAGAGGCAGGAGAAACGGAAAAGTAATCTTCAAAAAAGAATTGATGAGAAGAAAAAGCGTAAATTGCAACTGATGAAAAAGAAGGGGAGAGTTTTATAGTGATTTCCATTGTTTTAGTTTACCACTTGTTGTTAGATTTGTTTGTTACTATCAGTTTGATTTTGGGATATTGTTGTTTTTTGCTCAATTGTTTTAATTATTAGGTTGTCCGGAAAGTTCTCAGCGTTTTGTGTTACTATTTTTTGTACATTCATTGCTGATTAAAAACTCATTCTCCCTTGCGTCTCAGTAGTACATCCTGAAGAGAATTTTTTGCGCTATCTGATGGTATAATTGCCGTTTCACCATTGCTTGATAAACCCCTTTTCCCAAGACTTTTTGAAGCATGTCAAAAGAGCAACTTCGGACGATATTTTTCTTCAACTACAAATTGGGTCAATCCGCAGTCAAATTAAGCCAGGTGTGGGGGCCCAATAGTGTTGGAGAAAGCACCGTGCGACAATGGTTCGACAAATTTCGTTCTGGAGATTTCAGCCTTGAAGATGAACCTCGTAGCGGTCGACCTAAAGCAATACCTGACGAGGATTTTTGGAGGCTGACCCATCCCAAACAGTTCGAGAGATTGCAGAAAAGCTAGGCGTTGGCAAATCCACTGTTGCGGATGGTCTGAAACGCATTGGGAAGGTAAAAACTCGACAAGTGGGTGCCCCACAATTTGAGTGACCGGCAGAAATTGGCACGTCTCGAGGTTTCTTCTTCACTGCTTTTGCGCAACAGAAACGACCCGTTTTTGGACCGAATTGTCACCTGTGATGAAAAGTGGATCATGTATGATAACAGGAGACGTTCCGGACAGTGGTTGGATGCCGACGAACCACCGAGGCAATTTCCAAAGCCGAATCCTCACGAAAAAAGATTATGGTCACACTGTGGACAAACCACAGCAGAGCTCTACCGTGAAGAAATCGACCAAATGTACCGAAAATTGCGTCAGCTGCAGCCAGCATTTTGTCAACAGAAAGGTCGATTCTTTTCCATATCAGATTGAAGGGTAGCTAAGCCTCAATCCGATGGGTGTAGCGGTTAGGAATAAGAACATAGGTTTTTATATATATTTATTCGTATTACATCAGAGCATAGGTAGGAAAGGGAAACAGGAAGGAATAGGTGGCAGAGCCAGTAGCCAGCCACAGCGCTTAACCAGCGCGGAGATATCAACAACATGCTCTCTCACCGAGAGCGGCTCTTAAATAGCTTCTCCGTGCTTGCATCATCGACGTGGGTGGCTTCGTCAGCATAAGTCGGCCACGATGGTTTTCGGTCGGGCTCATCCATATGACATCTCCATTCCATCGGTAAGCTCGTCCTCGAGCTTTGTCAGTTTACTCGGCAGTGCAAAGAAATTGGCACCAACTGAGCATGACATAGTACGATGTATTGATATTGTATGGAGGAATGAGTGTAGCCAGACAACGGTATGATATGCCAGATAGAATAGTTCTTTGGCCACCATTTGACATGTCGACATAACAGGTGTGCACAGAGTAAAGGAAAGAGCCTATTTCCAGAGAGAGACTTATTATTTTCCTATTCCACATAGAGATTCCACATAGAGATTTCTCCTCCTTTCCTATATAAGCTCGTCCTCGAGCTTTACGAATGAGTGGGGTTAAAATGGAAGCATGAGTATAATCTGAGCAAGAGAAAACAAAAGGTACAGTTATTCTGATAACATACAATAATGACTATGGTGTTAACCTAATATATTGTTAAGTATGGGAACTAATTGAACATATTGTTTGTGACGTATAATATATGTAATGAATATGGATAACATCATGGTATGGTTCAAGCAGTATAATAGCCATGCGAAGAATCCAGAACGAAATCCTTTTGATTACTATGTCGGATCCGAACTGGGGCGTAGTAAAAAAAACGTGTGAGTAAGAGTATATTTTTTTTTAATGAGCTGCCTTACAGTGTTTTGGGACCGCCAATCCCAAAAAACTTTGAATACTTGCGGCGCTGCGGCAAAGATACGTAAACGAAACTTACTGCATGGATTGCCTGTTTATTGGAAACAGGTAATCCATTTCCTGACTATTAGTCGTGAAAGTTGGCTAAAATTGACATTTTATCCTGAAGACGACGAGAACGTCGTACAGGTATTTGTTCGACATTCGATGGCCTTGCCTCGACTCTTGGGAGGGATGTGGTGTTTTGGGTGGCAACGCTATCGGGTGTGGAACGTGGTGAGTACAATTTGAGTCTGTTAATATGCACGGTTTGTCGCGAGATGCGACCTATCAGGTTAGCGATTGTTATGTTTGGACGTTGAACGTCCTCAACCACGAAAGCGGCCTTTCCATCGGTTTGGTGAGTTATGGGACGGACAGTGTCGTCGGTGTGAGAGTCACAAGATCCCGATGGAATGTCTCTTTAGAGATTATACTTGGTTTTGCAGGTCGTATCCAGTTTGTAATATGCCAGATTTCTTCGCGCATTTCATTGCCACTTCATACATCGTGGTTCTCAATCGGCCTGTGACTGATGCGATCAACATCGTCGAGGCAGATAGGATTTTTGGATCGGGCAGCCTCGTGGAGCCGTCGCTCCAGTTGCATAGCGTACCTTCCGTGGACTACATAGAAAGGGCTGTAACCTGTAGTTGTATTTGTACTGCAATTGTATGCGAATACAATTGGCTGGAGAAGTTCTGTCCAGAGATCTCCTCGCGTCGCGCGCAAATAGGCAGCGTGGAGAATCTGTTATGACTTTGACTAGTCTCTCGGCTTGGCCGTTGGCCTTATGGTTATAGCTGGTGGTAAAACTGTTTGTAATCCCTAGTGCCTTATTGATTTTAATGAACAGTTCGCTAGTGTAGTTAGAGCCGCGGTCCGATACTATTTCGGTTGGGACGCCATGCTTGGAAATGACGTCATTGATTAGTACTCTGATGACTGTTTCGGACGACTGCTCTACTAAGGGGCTGCAGATGAGGTATTTGCTAAATGCGCATACCGTAATAGCAATAAATTTGCTCCCGTCTTGGCATTGGGGTAATGGCCCAATGACGTCGGTGTGGATCCTTTCGAAGGGGCGTTGTGGAATAGGGAACGCACCTAGCTCTTCCCTTATGATGTGCTTAGAGGGCGTTTTGACTTTCTGGCATACTGGACAAGTATTGATGTATGTTGTGACGTCCTGATAGAGGTTAGGCCAGAAATATTTTTCCTTAATGTTCTTATATGTTTTGTGGATGCCTAAGTGGGATCCGAGGAGCGGATTTTCGTGAAATATTGCTATTATGTTTGTTTGCATTGCTGGTTCCGGAATGAGTAACTTTGGCTTATCATGGATAGTGTAGAATAAACAATTATTGCGAATTGAGAAGTTGTGCAGTTTATTCTCGAATTCTTTGAGGGGTTCCTCGTTTTTCTTATGGAGGGATCTTAAATTAGCTCGCCGTACTTGCATCAGTCAGACGTGGTGGCTTCTCGCATAAGGTCCGGCCACGATGGTTTCGTCGGGCTCATCCATATGGACAGCATAACACACTGCACCACACGTTTCACAAATCACTATCCATAAATTGAACGAATTGGGGGTTGAAGTTCTACCTCAACCGCCATATTCTCCAGACCTTTCACCAACCGACTATCACCTTTTCAAACATTTTCAGAACTTCCTTGCTGGAAAATACTTCATCAATCAGGACCAGGCAAAAAAGCCTTCGTGGATTTCGTGGATTCTCGACCACCCAGTTTTTTTGATGGGATTTATCGACTGGTGTCACATTGGCAAAAGTGTGCTGATTCGAACGGTGCCTATTTCGATTAAATCCGATGAGTATTAAGAAAGTTATGATCGTTTAAAGTGAAACACTCAAAACGCTGAGAACTTTCCGGACAACCTAATAGTAACTTATATTCATTTGTTAAAAGGCGCTTTTGAGCTTGGGAGAGGCAGTTTGCACTTCTTGCTGGTCTCTTGTTAGTTCATGTTATCCCTTGCGTACCGCGTGCCTGCACCATGTACGCCATGCTCGTCCACCTCCATATGGCCACGTGCTGCACATGGTAAAGCACGCCTCGCTCAAGGTTGTTCAGCATTCTTCGATGACTCAAGTTTGTCAGTGTATTTTCGAAGTCTCCTGTGTTGAAATATATGTCTGGCAAATTTGCGGGATCAAACCAGAGCTCTTTATTGATATTTCCCGAGAAATGCATGAGCTGTAATAAAGTAATAATACTGTAATACTGTAAGTCGTCAGTATATCCTCTTGTTTATTTCTTAGTAATCAATGAAGTCAAAACCTTGTTCAAGACTCGACTGAAATTCGTAGAATACTACATTGGCTTAATTGGTGGACTTCCCCATCTTGTGTTCCGCAAGGATGTTATCCAAAGGAAAGGATGGGTGTGCTGTTTGATGAGTACTTGTGTGAAGTGTATGAAAGTGGAGGGCACTACTGAACTATTCCTACCCCAAGAACTCAAAATTTTTTTTCGCTGAAACTCAGCCTATAGATGTTATTCGATGTCCTGATCACGAATATGACATTCATTTCTGGTGCTGGCGCCAACTGGCGCCAATTTGGCTCCACCACTTTTCTCACCAAATTTGATGAAAACTTGTATACGGGGGTTAATTGACATCCTGATCACGAATATGGCATTTATTTTTGACGCTGGCGCCATTTGGATGCCACTAGGCGCCAATTTGGTGCCACACCACTTTTCCCCTAAAATGGGTTGAAACTAGTGCTGTTTGATGACCTGATCATAGATATCTCATTTATTTCTTAACACCAGCGTCATTTAGCCTTCTGCTAAGGTTGAAACTGAGAGAAGAGTGATTCCCTTCAGGCAAGGCTCAGCCTCAGCAGAGCGCAGATGATCATATTGTCCTACATTAGCGCCAGCGCCAAGAATAAATGTCATATTCGTAATCAGGATGTCAAATAACCCCCGTATATGAGTTTTCATCGATTTTGGTGATTTACGGTGTTTTGGCGCCGGCGGCGGTTTTGGGCCAAGCGGATGTTATATTCATGTTCAGAAGTCGAATTATCCCTGTAGGCAAATGTTC